ACATAAAATCCTTCTGGTTGTTCCATGTAAATTTCTTCATCTAACTCACCATTTAAGAAAGCGGTTTTAACATCCATTTGATGAATTTCTAGATTGTACGAAGATGCATTGGCAATTAGCATTCTAATGGATGTTATTCTAGTAACTGGTAAATATGTGTCAAAGTAATCAAGACCTTCTTTTTGTCTATATCCTTTGACCACAAATCTTGCCTTGTATTTGTTAATTGATCTATCCGCTTTTATTTTTCTTTTGAAAATCCACTTGTACCTAAGAGGTTTACAACCTGGTGACGATTCCACTAATTCCCAAGTGTGATTTTGCAGGATGAATTCAATTTCGTTGTTTACAACTTCTTTCCATAAAAGAGCCTCAGGACTGGACATAGCTTCTTTAAAAGTTAAAGGCTCATTTTCTAACAAAAAATGTTAAAAAATCTAGACCAAAAGATTTTGAGGTTCTAGCACATTTACTACGCCTAGGTTCCTCTTCTTCATTTTGATCTATCTCTTGCTCTTGCTCTTGTTATTGATCATGTTTTTTTATCATAACTAGTAATAGCATCAAAAGATCTTTTATTATTATTAGTCTTTTGTCCAGTTTTCTTTGGAAACACATGTTCAAAGAATGACGCATTACGAGATTCAATAATAGTATTTACATGCATTTCGGAATGTTCTGACTTATGAATAAAAAATCGATATGGACTACTATTCATGGCATAACCAATGAAAATGCAATCAACAGTTTTAGGATTTATCTTAGTCTTTTTAGGACTAGGAATAGCCATTAGCCAAATACCCCCACACTTTTAAGTATTTGTAGGATGGTATTCTCCCATGCCACAATTCATAAGGTGTTTGATTCACTTTCTTTCGGGGTACTTTATTTAGAATATAATTAGCAGAAAGTATTGCTTCCCCCCACAAGTTCTGAGGTAATCCAGAACTTATTAACATGACATTCATCATTTCTTTTAAAGTTCTATTTTTCCTTTCAGCAATTCCATTTTGCGAAGGTGAGTAAGGAGCGGTGGTTTGATAAATTATTCCATGTTCTTTACAAAACTCACCAAAAGGTGATTCATATTCACCACCTCTATCACTTCTAAGTTTCTTGATTTTCTTACCAAGTTGATTTTCAATTTCATTCTTATATTGAATGAAAGTTTCCAAAGCTTCATCCTTGGTTCGAATTAAATAAATATAACTATATCTAGTATGGTCATCTATAAAAGTGATTACATACTTTTTCCCACCTCTGGTTTGAATTGATTTAAAATCACAAATGTCACTATGAATTAATTCAAGTGGTTCCGTACTTCTTTCAATTGAATGAAAAGGAGTTTTAGATAATTTTGCCTCAACACAAATTTCACATTTATGATTTGAATCAATGTCAAATTTAGGTAAACATTCCATATTAATTAATCTACGCAAAGATCCATAATTAACATGTCCTAGTCTACCATGCCATAAATTTGAAGACTCAAGCAAGTAAGAAGAAGATGTAATCAGCACAAATGTGGCGAGTAGCACCAGTGTCCACCCACCATTCTTTAGGATTTCCAACAAGGTTTGCCTCGGAAACAACTGCAGAAAGATTTATGACATCTACAACATTGGAAATTTTGTCCATTTTGGTCATATTGCCTTGAGCAGCCTTCTTGCTTGATCTTCCTTTGCCTTTGCAAAAATCAGTTCCTAAGAACTTCTCTAGCCTTTTACCATGATTTACTGGCATAGTCACAACATGAGAAAGGAGTTGGCACAATTACAGCCACCATACCAGTACTTGTTTGTGCATTAGTTTTACCAGTTTCAGTAGCCATGAATTCTAAATTATAAAAAAAATTATAATTAGAATTTTATACTACACAGAAAATTTAAATCAAAACCACAAAATTAAATTTTGTAAAAATAAAAGAAACAAGAATTGTAACTTTTATTTCCAATTAATTTGAAAATAAAATAAAATTTTATTTAAAAAAATTAATTCCACAAAGAAAATTAAATTTCTGTAGCACTTTAAAAATTATTTCTGAAAATCAAAAATTAATTTATGACCAACTTCACAAATAAATATTTTGAATTGTTAATGACTACTAGTATATCACTACTAGTTGTTAAATAAAATAAACAGTATATTACTACTATTTGTCAAACAGTATATTCTACTATTTGTTTTTCCAACCAGAATATTATTTTGTAAAATCATAGAAAATAATTTTTGTAAGAAGAAGAAACAGAAAAAGAAACAAACGAAAAATTCTGTATAAACAGAATAATTCAGATCTATCTTAAGATTGTTGGAGCAATCTTTTGTGTAAAATAAATAACTTGAAACAAATCAAACAAATAAAAATAAATTACTTACAAAATTTATTTTACCGAACCGAATAAAAATTTAAAAGATCAAGTCGAGTGTGTGACACTCTATCCTTAAGACAGATTCGCCCTGCTACAGTGCTTATGGATAAAAGGCGTCTATATCCTAGGATACAATGATCTTCACAAATTGTAGTAGCACTCCAAACAGTTTGTACGGCGAACAAAACCTATGTTCTATATTTTCTAAATTTTTTCCCTAAAAATAATATGAAGAATAATGCAACCAAGGAGCAAAACCGGGAAGAGAAAACAAATTTTTGGATATGAAAATCTGCTAGAAATGATCTCTATTTTAGACAAGAAGGTGACCCTTCAGATCTGTCCGAGCAGGTGCAGTTTTGAATCGAACAGGTAAGAAATTTGAATGAACAGATACAGTTCAACATTTGAACAGATCTGCAGCAGTTTTGAACCTGTCCAAACTAGTGCTGGCAGTTTTATAACTGTTACAAACAGTTTGAATTTACTGGAGTAGGACTATAAAAGCATACGAATAGGAAAAAATTTGCATTCAAATTTTGGCCCAAAATTTGAATTAATTTCGTTCAGAAAAAAATAAATTTTTCTCACAAGATTTTTTGAAAAAATTCAAATAAATTTTGTCCAAAAAATTAATATTAGAATCGACCCGACCCATGACCACACCTGGCTCGGCAGAACGGTGGCGGCGGCGCGCGCGCGTCTGTGGTGGTTTGAGCCAAGGTTCACTTTGTTCATAACTCCTCCATTCTACAAACTTGGGGAGCCCCTTGGGGGCCCAATCCAAGTGTTGCCACCTAGAACTTATATACACATATAAGTTCTCTTAAGTTTTCAATGTGGGATAACCATTTCAAGGAAACCCACATTTTAATTCTTGAATTGTCCATTCCACGAACCCGAAAACAACATCAACTTCCCATTCACTCATGAATGGTTTTGACGAACCGTCTTCACTGTGTGATTTGCCATGCGGCAAGGAACACGTCATTTCTTCGGACCCACCCCAAAAGACATGTGGGCCTGATCCAAATTTGGGCTTAAAGTTTGCCCAAAATAAGTCTGTAAAACCATATTTTTCTAACACCTACATGCATAAAAAAAGACCAAAATAATAAATATCACCTTACTAGATTACAAGAACAACCAATCCAAAAAGATTAATACAAGGTTGCACAGAATAGTAAATATTACCTAAATAGAATTATTACCCATAGTGGCTGGAGGCTCAGAATGACCTTCAGGAGTACAAAAAAATCACCCTACAAATGACCAATTTCTTTAATTCATTACTTTTGCAACACACATAACACAAAATTGGTAACACATATCACATAACACATAACAAAATATCATTTAATCATATGCAACAATTTTGTATAATTACCTGCTTAGATTGCATTCTTTTCTTCTTTGCAATAGATTTTTCCATCCCGCCCTTGATCCTCCTTCTTTCCTTACTAGTTGCTTGTCTTTTCTTGAGTCCCTTAGCTTGGATTGGAAAATCTACTTCATAACTCTGTGGGCATGTGTTAGTTGAGGAATTTCTCAATTCAGTGACCTCCACTTGACCACAAGTGTGCACACTTAATTTGTCTTCAACCATGACACTCAATTCTTCACCTTTTGCAAGTGACAAATGATAAGTATCTCCAATTTCAGCGGCTCTATTTGCTATTGCTCTAAACATATTTATCAATGACCTATATCGGTCGCTTTGATGTAGTTTCACATCAGCCTTGACGTCATACCCATGGCTATCTTTCACACTTTAGCCTTTGCTTTTTTAGTCCACCGTTTCAGAATGTATTGTGCAGGAAGGCTCGTTGCATTGAATATATCTCTAAGCACCTTTAGACAATGTCGACACACTATGCCCTTCACTTCAAACTTCTTGCAACTACAACTCAAAGAACCATCTCTATCTATTGTCACATTCTTATCTTTTTTTTCTCTCTACCACCGTTCGAATTGTGAATATGGTGCTCTCACCATCATTAATAGTGCCTACTATGGACGCTTCAATGGATTGCATGCACTCATTTTGGAATTCCTTAAAAATTGTTTTGGTGCAAATATCTGCCATTTGCTTTAACATCAAAGTTGGTATTGAAACCCTTGGCAACTTTTGGGACAAATTATACTAGGCTTCCAATTCTTTATACCTCTTGTCATAGTGCACCCTCTCAAAATGCATGAAAAATTCCATCAAGTTATGATAACAATTGAGATAATCCTTCAAAAATGCATTAAATGATTCACTTAGTTGAGTAGTGCTCATTGCAGCTGCCCAAGAATTCATAATATATGGCCATCCCCATTTCTCCTTCACACCAAAAGTTTGCTCCAACCAATAATTGTTCCGTGCATCATACCTATCAAGCATTTGGTCCCATTGTATTCTGAATTCTTCTTCATCATCAATTTGATGCATAAATTTTGAAAACACACCCTTCACCTCTACATTTTCAAAAAGAGAACTTATATGCTTCACAACATTTTGCATCAAATGCCATGTACAAAGTCGGTGGTTTGTGTTAGGCATGACAATTGGAATGGCCTTAGCCATTGTAGTATCTTGAACTATGAAAATAGTTTTTGGAGCTTTGTTGACATTGCCTCCAAAAAAATCTAAAACAACCATGTGAATGATTCGGTAGTCTTATCATACATCAATGCTGCACTGAATATAACTGTTTCTTGATGATGATTAAATCCAACAAAGGTTCCAAAAAGTCTATGCTCGTTATTTAATTTGTAAGTAATGTCAAAGGTCACTACATCACCAAATTGAGCATAGTCCATTATCATTTGAGTATCGGCCCAAAATATATTACTTATTAACTCTTCATAATCTAAATGGACTGCATAATAAAATGATGGATTTTCCAAAATTTTCTTATGAAAGTACTGCAACACACTACCCGTTTCTCTATATTCCAAATCTTTTTGTCTTTTCGATCTCAAGTAATTTTTTTGGTCCAATTTGGTGAAGCCAAGTGATGCTCTTCCACCAGATTCCCTATCAAATAGCTCATAAGCAGCCTTAAGAGGAATTCCAGATTCTGAAGCCAATTCTACTTCAATTGCTTGGATGGTAGATATTTTTCTTTAGGATGTCAACATATGAATGCACTCTTGAGGCACAAGGTCATGATTGTGATGTTCAACAAAATCAATTGCAACATATTTTCCTAAATTTCTATCTAACCTGATACTAAATCTGGCACCACAACCACATCTCACCTCTTGTCTCGAAAATTTTACTAGTGGATCTCGCTTGTCAATACCCCGAGTTCCCTCTTTGTAACATACAAAAGTCCGTGAAGTTGTTTCCTTAGTCTGTTTGTTCTTGTGTGCATATGCTTTCCTAATACTAAAGCCTACCTTTCCTCCATAGGTATTGTAAAAGTCATACGCAGCTTGTTCAGAGTCAAATGGCATGCCTAATTTCGGCTTCCAACCACAATTGGCCAACTCATCAACAACATTATTCTCTTCCATTACTTGCAATTCAATTTATAGATGTAATGAAATAATTTATATTACTTGGATTTTTTTGGATAGGTATGACAGTGTTTAATTTTCTACCTCTGTATTTCTAATTTAATAAAGTACCTCTGTGCATCCAATTATCAACATTTACCTCTGTGCATCCAATTATCTAAATTATCAACATTTACGAATATCTTTTAATGTGTTCTCTCATTTATATAATTTTGATAAGACATTTAATTAAGAGGGATGTTTCGAATTTCACTATGGATTCATCTATGACTACAATGAAATCTATCTGGTGACAAATATTGTATTCCTTTTAATAATTGCGTTAACACTAAAAAGAAGGCGTCTTTAGCCATCTTAATTCAACCAATGGGACTATTTTGATTGATCAAAACTCTTCCACCTTGTGTGTATATATTTGGGCTTTTCTTTGAGAGTTTCTTTGCATTAATTAGTATAAATCTTTTGTTTGATTTTTATCATTATAATCGTAATTCATTGAGTTTCATTATATAAAAAATAGGCAAGAACAAAAAATAAAGACTGAATTTCGAAATAGACTTACTAAATTTCTCAATCCACCCACAATCTCTCTTAAGTTAGTGTTTCTCTTTGAAGTATAAAGCTTACAGTACATATGTTAAGCATTTAAGTTATAAGATTTACAATGTAGGCCTTGGAATATATACAGTTAGGAATATTTACCAATATCTTTTTAAATTTGAATGACATATAGAAAAACCATATCAGCAACTATAGCTGTTGAGCATATCAGCAACATAAACCATAAAAAATGTAAATATAGAAAGTTTGAAACTATGCACTTTTGAGCATATCAGCAACTAATCATATATGTCATATCATCAAACCCATTTCAACAGTACCCATTTCATCAAAAACAAACACAAGAGACTGAAATGAAATAGAGATTGAAATACCTATTGAAGCAGATAACCTAATATTAAAAAAATTATATATACGTATATATGTATCTAGCGGCGGAGAAATGACACAGAGACTGAAATGGACCTCGCCATGGCTGTAATGTCGCCTTGCCGCCATCGCGTCACAGCCGAACTTGCATACCTCTGCCATCCTCTATCCATCACCGTCGCCTCCCTTCACCATCTCTCTCAATTCGTTTCTCTCTCCGTCTTCACCGATCGCGCCGATCGTCTCTTTATTCATCGATTGTCTCTCCATTTGTTTTGTCCAGTTGTGCCTCTCTTCTCTCCCTTTGCCCAGTTGCGTGGTTAAGGCTAAACAGAGAGGAACGAAGATGAAAGTGAAATAAACAAGCGGGAAACTCAAATTTTGGGGAAAAAAAACTAAATAAAACGACGTCGTTTTGTATAAAACGACGTTGTTTTGGCGAGGGTGGCAGGGAGGGCCGCATGAAAGGGCGGCCGAGGATCCTTGCTCAGAAATGGCCCACTAATGTCAACGGATGAGAGAAGGACAAGCACCAAAAAAGCCAGTCCAAGTTTTGGTACCAAAAATAAAAAAATGTAAAATATCTAAAAAGCAAATATGCTACCCAGAAACCAAACTTTGTAGAGAGATAGGTGATATAGCAATGGCACCCCAAATCCCATATGTGCAGCCATTTAACACACAACATTCTCATCAAATGCACATTTCATATGTGCACCCATTTAACACACAACATGCTCATCAAATGCACATTTCAACCAAAAACTAGAGCCTAGACATGGCATCTACGGAAACAACCTCACTTTTTCAAAAAAAAATAAATAAAAACTACTCAAATGACTGATAGCACAATATCACATTCACTAAAGTATTAATTAGACATAAAATATCCCATTACTAATAGAGACGTCAAATCAAAAACAAAACAAATTTAACTGCAGCTAAAACTTTAGTTCCAAAATACCGTCTCCACTAAAAGAAAGAACAATCACCTGAAATGAAAAAACTAGCATAAACCACCCCAAATGATGAAAAGAGAGACATACAAGGGCATATGATTGCCAAATTTAAAAATACCGAGACATAACTTCAATCCCATACCAAGGGTGAGCTTGCTTCAATCCATTATATAGCATGCCACAATGAGTCAAGGCTTGATGCCAGGAACCCCATAACTAGAACCTTTCGACTTGCTTATTGGAAGTTCTACAAATCAAAGGGGGAAAAAAAAAAAAAAAAAAAAAAAGAGCCCTTTTAAGTTTTCAAATTTTTTTTACTTTTTTTTTGAAAAAACTGATGACAACGTACCTTTGCTTCTTTGCATTCTGCTGCTTTATGCTTAGAACAACATTCACAACCACCTTTTGATGATCCCTTGTTTCTGAATGTACGTCTAACCCGGGACGAAAAAGGGCTCTTTTAAGTTTTGAAAAATTTATACTTAAAAAAAAAAAAAAACATCTGACAACGTACTTTTGCTCCTTTACAATCTGCTGCTTTATGCTTAGAACAATATTCATAGCCACCTTTTGGTGATCCCTTGTTTGTGAATGCACGTCTAACCCTTCCACTATTTCACAATCAATTTCACAAATTCAGCACCTCTCCATGCTTGCAGGCTTCTGCTTTCTTGAGTTGTCAAAAGGATCCATGCCACCCTGAAGAAATAAATACATCCAAACAAAAAGATGCACTACAAACCTTTATATGCACGAAAACCAAAAATTCTGCAGGCAATAGGCTTGCAATCAAAATTTACAAAAAGGCTAACAATACTTACAGTGAGGGGATAACTGCTCCTAAATCCAGGCTCACCAAGACATGGATGGCTTGACTTGTTTCCTCCAAATGGTTCGCCAAGAGGTAGCTAGTGCAGGGGGTTTCCTGAACCATGCACATCCCTCGCGCACCCATGACCAGGAAAGGCACCAAAACAGCAGGTTCACCAAAATGCAGATCACCAGGTAAGTTCTGGGAGCCTAAAAATTCACTCCTCCTTAAATGACTAGCGAGAATATCTAAATCACTTATTCGCATATTCCCTGGCCTATCAAGCTTGACTCTTCGCAAGTGATCATGCAATGGATATTAGGACAAATTTCATTTTACCATCATGTAGTATAGCTCATGCGCACATAATACCCATGTCATTTGAAAATAGCCACTTAACTCCCTATGGTTTGTTGACTATTACACACCACTAGTATTCGTTAACTACACTTTTAAATTGACCTAAATACCCCATCTTATTCCTCTCTTTTGAACAAAATCATTCACTTTATCCTTGTTGTTTGGGTTATGTGTGCATAACCCCCTTGGCCATTTGGAAATATAGGTGCGTCTAATGCACTTTTTGTTGATTTGGATTGAAAATGTGATGGTGCACTTTAGTCTACTAATCATAGGGAGTTAAGTGGTTATTTTCAAATAGTAAAAAGGTTATGTGCACATAGTTTACACCATAGAGGGGTAAAGTAAAATTTGCTCTAATATTTATGTTTGAACTCTAGTATTTGATGTCACCTAGACGAGATACCTGAATTATTTGATAATAGTGTTGCATTTAGGTTTTAGGTGACACATAATACTTACCATGAAAATGAACAAAACAAAATCGTGGAAAAGTATGAAAGAATAAAACGAAATCTATGGAGCAATATGATCAAGGTTTTAAAAAGCGGTTGTGGCAGTAGGCACTACCCGTTACACCCGCTTTTGCAGTGTGATGAAATTTCACACATGTAACAGCCATTGCAGTTTGGCTTGAGCTAGCAGATGATTGGGCATTCTTCATGGTGCCAACTTAGTTGGTATTAAGTTGAATTGCTATGATACTATTTGCTCTTGCCTTCCCTCTTTATTCATTTACTCTCATTTGTAAAATATGCTGTTTTATCAATAAAGTTCTCCCTTTTTTCACTGATCAAAAAAAGAAAAAGAAAAAAAAGAGAGAAGCTATTATAGTGTTATGTAATAGCCATAATGATATCGTAACACCTGTAATGGGCCGTTACACACCGTTACACATTCTGCACAGTTTCTTTTCAAAAAAAAAATAAAATCAAATCAAAAGATTACACAATATTGTAAGTCACGAACTCTATATTGTATAACAATTAATAACAAAATCAATAAAAAAAAAAGGTACAATTTGGATTTATGACATATAATGCCACTAACTATTGAAATAAAATGTAAAAAAATTCCGTTTATAGTGATTTAAAAATACGAAATATATTGGATCATACTTAAAAACTAACAAAAATTGATCAAAATTTATTTTAAACCCCAATAAATGTGATTATGAAATAAAAATAAGAATGTCAATAAGGTTTTTTTTGGGGTCAAATTGTGAATAAAAAAAATTCATGGTTTCAAGTTATGATACGGCCTTTACACCCCGTAACTATGTTACTGCCATTGCGACTATTATGACAACTGCAACCGCTTTTCAAAACCTTGAATATGATAGAAATACACACATGCATCTAATAAGTATAACAATCTATCAGACTCGTAAAAATCAACATATTACATATCACTTATGAAGCATGGATATGGATACGGATACGAGATACGACAATTTCAAAAAAATATCAACACAGACATGGCGAGGGACATGGAATTTTCTTTTAATTTTATATTTATATGTATTTGAAATGCACATTGATATTGTGTCAGTACCAAACAATCAAAATTAATATAAAAAAAAACTAACATTAATTCAATATATATATATATATATGTATATATATATATATATATATAAGCCACTATATTTAATTAAATTATAAATTAATTTTATTCAGAGAAATCCAGAAAGAGAGAGAGCATACCTATAAATATAAAAAGGTATAATTAGGGCAAATTACATCAATGGTCCTCCTAGTTTTCTCAAAGTTTAAGTTTGGTACTTGTACTTTGAATTTCGTCAATTTAGTCCTTGAACTTTCAATTTTGTTCTATTTTGGTCCTTACTGCCTTAAAATCTTGAGAGAGCATCATAAAGTATAATCAGAATAAATAAATAAATAAATAAGAGATAGAGAAAATCATGGATTAGAAAACCAAAGGAAAGACAGAGAGAACAGAGAGAGAAGAGAGGAGAGAAAGAGAGAGAGATAATAGGCGAGAGGAGATGAGAGACTTGTGGCGCAGATCAACTGAGATGAGCTCAATGGAGCTCAACTGAGGACTTCGCAGGTTCACTTTTCTTTTCTCTCTTTTTCTCTTCTGCTCTTTTATTAAGTCTCTTCTTCTCTTTATTCGAATTAGGGATTCGATTAGGGCTTTTTGATATAATTTTTTTACTTATTAAATTTATATTTTGACCCCAAAAGATATACAAAAATTGAAAAAAGACCTCGCCGTATTCCATTTTGTGTCTTGCCATGTCCCCTTCCATGTCCCATAAAAAAAAAAAAAAGGATAGGTTAATTGGCGTGTCCCATACGTGTCCAGCATGTATCCTCATGTCCCTTGCCATGCCCCATACCAACAAAAAAAAAGAAAAGAGAGGGGCACCCCAAATGTGTCCCGTACATGTTCGGTGCATGTCCCTGTGCTCGACACTGCTACGTCGCCTATTTTAAAGTGTCTGTACTTCATAGCATAGATCACTAAGCAAAATAAGCTAAAGGAAGAATGCTTAATGCCACTATTAATTATAATTCAATGCTCATCTTTGACAAGTCAACATTTTCTTCACTGTCACCTTCACTCACATTTGTGTTTATTTCCTTTTTTATCAGTCAAAGAAAAAAAAATATTTATTAATGAAATTAACATACAACTATGGAAATACATCAATAAAGAGGAGGAAGTGCATGCAAAAAGCATCACAATAAGCCTACACTATCCCAATTAGGTTAGAACTGCGAAGCATACACAATTATTTGCGAGCACATGCCTTAAGGTTGGTGAGAAACCAACAAAATAGCCGAAACAATATAGATACAAGCCAGCCCAGAATAGAAAAAAAAAATCCAAAGCAACAAATACAAGTCAACCCAGGTCATAGACCATCACCAGCAGCAAAACAAATCCATGTCAGATTATCATAACAACACATTGCTTCCCAAGCACTTCCTGACCTACCTCATGTTAGTAATGAAGTCTTGAACTGAGAAACAAAACTCCTTAAAGATTGATTTCATCCATAAAGCAATTCGAAACTTAATCAAATCACACAACTCATTAAAATTTGGATTGGATGCTTTGAACACACACTCATTTCTGTGTTTCCACACTAACCACATCACAACCAATGGAATAACACTCTAGATCTTCCTCTCTTTCTTCTTCACCTTCCTCCCTGCCCACCATAAGAGTAGACTATTTCCAAAACCTGGTAAGGCTCCTTGTACATCCCACCATTTTAGCATTTCAGTCCCAACTTTCCATACATAAGGGCACAAGATCAAGACATGGCTCACAGATTCACTCTCCCCCTTGCAAAACATACAGATAGTGGGCACATTCTCATTTAAAACACCTATTTTTTTTTATAGGAACTCTGTTGTCTTGATTCCATTTTTCCAAGCTAACTACCTAAAGACCTGAACCTTAGGAGTTATGTACTTTCACAAAGTATTCCAATTGATAGCTTCAATCTAGTCTAGTCATCTACTAAAGTGAGATCATGATTAGAGTATTCGGATGAATGATACACAAATTTGAGGACGTGTTCTAAATAATAAGTTTGTTTGTACAAGTAATAAGGAAGTAAAAGCATAGGAGCTCAAAGTATAAAACTAGAGTTAGGCATGGTGGGGCATTTGTGATAGAGGTTGATAGAAGAAAGAACTTGTAGTTGGTGGGAAGACCTTTAACATCTTTGTCTCATCTTTCATTTGTCTTAGCAAATGTGCAGCTGCATGACTCATCTAAAAAAGAACATAGTGCAGTTAAATGCTGGGAATTATTGGAAGTATTGGCCTGTCGTAGTCATTAAACCCATGGACATTTTTTTCCTAAAGTATTTAATTGGAAATTTTCAGAGGAATTATGTTGCTACCATTGGATCCCGCCTACCTTGACCAAGACAAGCCAATCAAACTAAGTGTAGTGTTGTTTAAACCTGGTTATTAGGCGATTCAACTTGAAGCTTGAGATCGCTTTGTTTAATTGTTGAATGGAGGTACGTTTTTTGTAATGAGTAAAGCATGTATTTTTTTGATGAGCAGCTCCTTTCATTTGCAGCCCATGTTTAGTCTATCTCTCTCTCTCTCTCTCTCTCTCTCTCAAGTCTATGACTCTATGTATATAGTAATGAAGTCCAGTACTAATTCGAAATAGTCTCATTTTCTACAGATATATGTTAAAAGGATCCAAGTTGATGAAACTGGGCACATGCACTGCATTAAGCAATATTTTGATTAGTGGGCTTGTTTTGACAAATGTATAAGCCTAATTTTTTTGTTAAATTTTAATACAAGTAATTTTTTTTTTAATTGTCATCTTTGATGTGTATTGAGCACAAAACAATTGAAGAAATTTCTCAAGGCTAATGAACTAAGAAATTTGAGTCTAAGACCTTGTTGGGTGTTTCGGAAGCAAGTGTGTGTTTAAACTACAGAGAAATCGATCTAAAACATACAAAATCAGATATGATTTTTTTTGTAGAAAATAAAGAAGAAGAAGAGTAAAACAGAGGAGAAAAAGGGTCTAAATAGAACAGCTCCTTGAGCATATTTTTCTGTTCCCTTTTTAGTTTTCCTTACAAGCTTTGTATATGTAATTACATCAACCTAAGTATAACAAAACATCTGGACAAATTTACTTCACATAAATTAACTCTAATTAACAAAACCCAACCCAAAACATAATTAGAGTTAACTAAACATAAGTAATTGTTTGGATACAATATTAAACAGGCACATTACATCAACATTATTCTCTCCTAATGTGCTGCTCCATAACTTTAAGCAACTCTATGAAATGTTGAAACTTTCCTTTGGGAAGAGCCTTAGTGAATATATATGTAATTTGTTCATCTGACTTGCAAAATTTGAGCTACACTTCACCTTCTTCAATTACTTCCTGAATAAAATGATGTTTAATTGCAATATGACGAGTGTGACTATGAAAAGTAGGACACTTACCCATGGTAATGGCTGGTTTGTTGTCACAAAAAATTTTATGTATCATCTTCCTGATTTTCGCAAACTTCTTCAAGTATTCTTAACCAAATTGCTTGGAAAGTTGCCAAACTCGCTAAAACATATTCAGCTTCTATGGATGATTGCACCACACTTTGTTGCTTCTTTGATGCCCAAGAAGATACTCTAGAACCCAAGGAAAATGCATACCCGGAGGTGCTTTTCGTATCAACAGTGCAACCACCCCAATCACTATCACAAAAACCAAGCAATTTCAAATTTGAATCTTTGCAATATTTGATACCATAGCTGGTTGTGCCTTGAATATATCTCAATACTTGTTCTGCAGCACCAAGATGATTTTGGCTAGGATTATTCATAAATCTCGAAAGCAAACTTGCAGCATACATTATATTTGGCTTTATAGTTATAAGATACAACAAATTTCCAACCAAGTTTCTGTACAACGAACCATCAACTTTTTTCTCTCCATCTTCCTTTATAAGTTTTTCATTCACAACTAGTGGTGTGGCCATGGACTTATAACCACTCGCGCTAAATTTCATTAAAATATTTTCAGCATATTTCTTTTGAGAAACAAATACTCCATCTTCAACTTGATAGATTTCAATTCCAAGAAAATGATTCAACAAACCCATATCACTTATTTCATATCTTCCCATCATGTCATTTCTAAATTTTTCAATCATTGTATCATTGTTACCGAAAATTAACAAATCATCAACATACAAGGCAACAATAAGAATTGATATACCTTGATTTTTCACATATAATGTTGGCTCACTCTTGCTCTTCTTGAAACCCTTGTTGATGAAGTAGAAATCGATTTGGCTATACCATACTCTTGGAGCTTACTTCTGCCCATACAATACTTTTTCAATTTATACACCTTGTCTTCATCTCCTTTCATTAAAAACCTTTGGGGTTGTTCAATATACACTTCCACTTTCAATTCTCCATTTAAAAATGCAGATTTAATATCAAGTTGATACAATGACCAACCTTTTTGGGCTACCAAAGCAATAAGAGCTCGAATGGTGTCAAGTCGTGTAACTAGTGCAAATGTTTCTTGAAAATCGATTCAAGGTTGTTGTGTATGCCTTTTTGTGACCAGCCTTGCCTTATTTCTTTGGAATGAACCATCTGAATTCAACTTTATTTTATAAATCCACTTCACCCCAATGACTTCTTTGCCTTGTGGTCTTTCAACTAATTCCCATGTGTTGTTCTTCTTAATGACTTTAATTTCTTCTTCCATCGCTTTCTTTCAAGCTTCCTCTTTAATTGCTTCTTCAAAACTTTCAGGTTCTACTACACAAAAATTGCATCTAGCATATACATCACTCTAACTCCTCATTTTTTTTTTGGAGTTGAGCTAGGTGAGGATGAATTAGAATTTGAGCTTGAACTTGGAGAAGAGCTAGAAGCTGATGATGAAACTACCCTTGGTGAGGAATGATGTGAATCCTTATTATCTTCATCTTCATGTGTTTAATTTTCTTGCTCCTCATCAACTAGAATAGATTGCTTCTCAATTTTATCTTCTTCCCAATTCGATGAAGCATTATCATCATATAACACTTCTCGGTTGATTATAATTTGATTTTTCTTCAAGCTATACAATCGATAACCCTTGGATTTGCTGTTGTATCCCACAAAGATACATTTCTCACTTGTTTCATCCAATTTGCTTCTTCTTTCTTTTGGAATTTGAGCATAGCAAACACATCAAAATACTTTGAGATGTTTTACTGATGGCTTTCTTCCACTCCAAGATTGTATGGAAGTTTCGCTCCAAACGACTTCGGTAAGACGCCTATTTATCAAGTACACAGTTGTGTAAACAGCTTCAGCTCATAAACTCTTGGGTAACCTTTTTCATGCATCATAGATTTGGCCATTTCCGTCACCGTTTGATTCTTTCTCTCGGATACTCCCTTTTGTTGTGGAGTATAAACCACTGTTAGTTGCCTTTCTACACCTTCATCTTCACAAAATTTGTCAAACTCCTTAGAGTTGTATTCTTTGCCATTATCACTTCTCAAAGTCTTTATGTAGTGCCCACTTGGCTTTTCCACCATGCTCTTGAATCTCTTGAAAATTGTGAACACTCGGATCTTTCCCTCATGGAAATACACCCATGTCATCCTTGTATAGTCATCAATAAAAAGAATAAAGTACTTATTTTGGGCATGGAAGGGAGTTCTCATAGGGCCACAAACATTCGTATGAACCAACTCTAACATTTCTTTGGCTCTCCAAGCAACTCCTTTGGGAAAAGGTTGCCAATAATGCTTCCCAAGTGCACACCCCTCACAATATTGGGAAGTCCTTTGACCATATTCTTTTGATGAAGCACTTCTAGACTATGAAAATTCAAATGCCCAAGTCTTCTATACCACAACCATGACTCATCATTCATATGAGCTTTCAAAAAAACATTTCTAGCTTAGTTGAATGTATGTGGGAAGCTTCGGTTCTTCTCCATTTGAATTTTTTCCACCACTTGCTTTGTATTTCTATCATGAATGATACAACTGTTAGCTTCAAAGTGGACTACATATCCATGTTCTACAAGTTGTCCAACACTTAGTAACTTTTGCTCCATGTCTAGAACAAGCAATAATACATCATGAATAAACTTAGTCCCCTTTTTTGTTTTAACTCTTATGGTTCCTTTTCCTTTTATATTTAATAACACTCCATTTTCCATTTTAACTTGAGAGCAAATTGAAGTGTTCATGTCCAAGAAATTAGACTTATCACCTATCATACGATTGCTGCACCCACTATCAAGGTACCAAACATTATTTTTGTGTTCCGAGGTTGCTTGACAAGCATAAAATAAGCTTCCTTCTCTATTTTTCTCCTCTGAAAAATTAGCTTGTTGATTGCTCTTGAATTTACAATTCTTTTCAAGATGACCAAAATTCTTGCATTTATAACATTGTGGTTTCCCTCGGAACCAACAATCCTTCCACAAATGATTTCCCTTTTTACAAATTCTGCACTTTCTTATATTTTCTTCCATACTTGAACTTCTATTATTGTTGCTTCTACCTCTTCCCCTTGATGAATTTCTTCCTCTACCTCTTCCTCTTCATTGTCTACCACCTCTTGATGATTCCCCTCTTGTTTATTCATTAGTTGATGATTCTCCATGACTTTTAGAATTCAAATTAACTTTTTATTTGGAATGCACTCTCTAGAGGCTTCTCTGATTGTTTTAATAACCTTTGTTCATGTGCTTTCAAAGAACCCATCAATTCTTGGACACTCATTTTAGAGATATCCTTTGTTTCTTCAATTATTCTCACCATTGTGTTATATTTTTTTTGGTAAACTAACTAGAATTTTCTCAACAGTTCTCTTTGGTTCAACTCTTTTACCATATGGTTTCATTTGATTGACAATCTCCATCAGTTTAGAGAAACAATCAATTAAAGTTTTAGATTCTTTCATCTTCAAATATTCTAACTCCTTTCTAAGAGTTTGGAGTTTGATAATTCTTGCCTTTTTGTCTCCTTGAAATTCTTCTTGTTGTAAAATGTCACATGCTTTCTTTGATTTCTTGGCTTCAATGATTCTTGGAAACAACTCATCAAAGAGTGCTTGTTGGATGAAGAAGAGTGCTTTAGCATCCTTTGTTCTGGTTTTCATTAGTTGCTACTCTTGTGCTGAAGTTAATGTAGTTGTTGAATCGGGTTCATCATACCCATTTTGTACCAAGTTCCATAAACCTTGGGACTAAAATAAGGTCTTCATCCTCACACACCAATAATCATAATTTTCTCTAGCAAAAATGGGCATAGATGGTTGCTAGATACCCATACTTTGGTTGCTTGAGTTAGCCATGGAGATTTTCTGCAAGACCCATTTTTCTTCTTCACGCACTTTCTATTTTCAATCCTCCTTTTCAAATCGAAGCTTCCGCTTCGAACTTGACTTTGATACCACTTTATGTTGGGTATTTTGAAAACAAATGTGTGTTTAAACTACAGAAAAATCAATCTAAAACACACAAAATTAGATTTGATTTTTTCTGTAGAAAATAGAGAAGAAGAAGAGTAAAACAGAGGATAAAAGAAATCTAAATAGAACAGTCCCTTGAGCAGATTTTTCTATTCCCTTTTTAGCTTCCCTTACAAGCTTTATATATGTAATTACATCAACCCAAGTACAACAAAACATCTGGACAAATTTCCTCCACATAAATTAACTTTAATCAACAAAACCCAACCCAAAACATAACTAGAGTTAATTAAACATAAATGATTGTTTGGATACAAAATTAAACAAGCACATTACATCAACATACCTTATTTGGAGACTGAACATTTTAGTCAAAAAGTCACTATAAGTCATCATATCACTATTTCTACTTTTCTGCATATTTTTTTATAAAAAATCAAAAAGTTATTAAAATAGTCTATTCGCAAACAAGGCCTTAATCATCATGAAAGAAAGTTAACTCTAAGGAAGTCGAAAAGAAAGGTTAAAAAAAAAAAAAAAAATTGAAGATGGCTCTTCGAACAATATAATAAATTGCTTTAGATGTCATAAAACCGACCCCTTCGAAAGGAAAACAAAGGAAACAAAAATGGTAAAGAACCCTAAAAACAATCGAACCAATTGTACCCTTCCTTCCCCTTCAATCATAAAATACACCAAAAAACAGAATCCCCCTTTTACTAATGGAAAAATACACCATATATCCTCATATAACACCTCCAGTAAATAATATTTATACACAAGCACTCTTGAATTTGGAGTTCTTAGTGCTTGAAAATTTCAAGTTCATGCATTGAAAAATATAAAAGGTGTTCAGTCAAAATTCTAAAACTAGATAAAACAATAATCCAAACCAAATTTCTTGAACCAGCCAACTAAAAAACCAAAAAACAAACACAAACAAATTGAAGCCTAAAACTAAATCATCCACTAGTGCTTACTATATAAACAAATAGGTAATCTCTCCGTTCCTTCAAGTTATTTGATATCACCAGTCTGCGATGGCATCCTACAGCAACTGGGGACACCATTCTCAAGACCCGGAAACCATTCATCTATGTGGGCATCAGATTGAAACATTGAACCTTTCAGTTCCTCATCGAGTCCTCTTGGCTCAAGCGCCCAACAATGTAGATTCTGATTCATCGATTTCGGCCTCATGTTGCTCTTCATACCATCAATAGATTGTGGTTGATTCAAAGTCAATTGCATAGCTGGTTGGATTGGCGGCTTATTGACATCATAAGGATAATTGAAATATGTGCTATTAGCCATCATTACCTGATCATGATTGAAATGAAGTTGAGGAGATTGCAGAAAATGTGAATTAATAAATGCATTTGGATTCACTTTGCCATTGTAACCACTGTCCATTTCCATAGCTTCACCTGGAATTAAACTTTCTAGAGATGGCAACATTGCAGAGTTTTCAGCAGGTAGATGTTCATTATAATAATGTTCAGCTGGAACAACTTCCTCATCATCAGGATATCGGTTTCTTATGCTCCTTGATCTGTCTACATTCTTGTAAATCTTACACAAAACACAATCATCTAACTGTAAACAAGAAAAGTAATCATGGTAGTAGTCAGTGCCACTAGAAAATATTTCAACAATTAAGGAAACAAAAAAAGTTTAAAATTGTGCCACAGTAATTTTAGTGATGTATTAAAGATGAATAAAAACAGTAAATTTATGTGCAAAAAAAAAAAATACTAACTTCAAACAAGAGAGCAATCACGGTGTCAAATTGTATGAATATTTATCCACTACAACATATAAGAGTTTTAGAAACTAAATGTTTTGGTTTCTAAAACTAAATGTTTTGGTTTCTAAAACTAAAAATTTGATTGCAAAAGACATTTAGGGACCAATTTTCATCGCCATGAGGATAGTCGCTAAAAGGTCGTATCGAAAAGTCAAAAATAAGGTTTTTAGCAACAAAATTTTGAAAATATTACTAATAATTTGGTCTCAAAATGGTTTATTTTTTCAAACAAAAAAATTGGTTTCAAAAGGATAATAATTCACCACTAATGTCCAATTTTTATTGCTAAAAATATAATAATTACACTTTTTGTAATTAAAATATTTTGTCCCTAAAAAATAATTATTTCTAATTTTTGATTTTTAAAACCTTATTTTTTTTTATAGTGATGTCTAATCAACATCATAATTACCGCGGAAACATGTCAAAAAATGAATAGAAATATTTATGATGCGTAAAAAAAATCATAATCAATAACTAGGAAGAATGTTGTGTGAATAATAATACAATACCAAAACAATCAGGTGATGAACACATGCAGATAAGTATAACTTCTATTTTGCTGATATATATACACATAAATAGAGAGACAGGTAACCTACCCTCATTTCATTTCCAACGGTTGGAGCCTGAGGATGATTGTTTGGTAATCGATATTCATGCATAATCCAGTTGGTTTTTTCGCCTTTGGGAGGTATTCCTTTGTAGAATACTAATGCGGTTCTAAAGCCAACATCGGCACCCATAAATCTCACAGTCTTATTTGTACCGGTAACCTTCCAGTAACCATCACCTGCAGCTCGATTTGGCCGCTTCCCATTCTTATACTTTCGATCTCTTGGTGTAAAGAAATACCATTCCTTCTCTTCATATGGCTTGTAATTTTCTGTTAATTAACACCAGACATAATATAAATAAAACTCATTGAACATGTTAGACTATTAGCTGGACCTCATTCCTTAAAACTTCATCGAATGTTAGAATATACAATTCATAAACCAAGAAAAACCAAAGAATGAATATGCATACATCAAAGGAAGAAATAAATAGAAATCAGAATGAGTTACATTACATATGATTCCAAAATTTCAATATGAGTAACAAAACTAATGCAATATTGGGACAATCAAATCTGGAAGAACCCATTAGGTATATCGTAGCAGCCAACATGATCTTGTTAATAGCTGATCAAAAAAACATGATCTTGTTAATATCCATTCAAATCACATAAGAAAAATAAAAAATAATGAGAACATACATATTCAAGAAATAATAATAGCAAAAGACAAACAAAAACCCTTAAAGCTTTAGAAAAAATTTATAATAAACTATTTTTTTTAATACATTTTCTGTTTGAAAATCAGTTTTCTTTGATACTACATATTGAAGAACATGAATACATATTGAAGAACAGGAATACTATTCAAGAAATAATGATAGAAAAAGACAGATAAAACCCTTAAAGCTTAAGAGAAATCTGTATCACTTTTCTTTGATACCACATATCCAAGAAATATGAATACGTATTGAAGAACATGAAACATATTGAAGAACAGGAATACCTATTCAAGAAATAATGATAGAAAAAGACAGATAAAACCCTTAAAGCTTAAGAGAAATCTGTATCACTTTTCTTTGATACCACATATCCAAGAAATATGAATACGTATTGAAGAACATGAATACATATTGAAGAAATAATGATAGAAAAGGAGAAGATAAATAAAACCCATAAAACTTTAGAGAAATCTAATAATAGACAGTGTGTGTATATATTCAAGAACATGGATACAAATTCAAGAAAGAAAGAACATGATGTTATATAAGAAACAAAAGTGAGAAAAAGAAAGAAAAGATTAGAAACCTGAAAGATATTGAGGATTAAATTCGTAAAGATGAACATCATGAATCTTGTTGATTGGCAGTGTTTGATGGTTGATCTTTCTCTTCAAGTAGTTAACAATGAGCACTGCATCTGTAGGATTGAAACGGTAACCAGGTGGGAGAGAAGCAAAGTACTCATCCACATCCACATGATCTACATTATTTGCTAATGTAGAAACTGAAGCTTGTGCTTGTTGCTCTTCAATGGGTTGATATTGTTGATCCTCCATTGTATGTACGTACGTCTCGGAGAGCAAAACAAAACCCTAACAGAGAAGACGTTTAAACAAGGTGTTCCAAGATAACTCAGAGTTCTGCTTTATGTCAACGTGATCTCTTTGTTGCATCAGATATTTACCTTATATATATGTATATATATATTATAAATACTAATTTTCCTCCAACGAATAAACACCAAAAAATCAAGAAAGAAAAAAAAGGGGGCAAATTACAAATTAGGCCAAATTACAAAAAAAAAAAATTACATATACATGGAAAAATTTATGTTTATAATTTTTTTTATTGATTTGAATTTTTTCTCAACATTCAACTGATTAGTAATTCCCCCCCAAACTCTAAAACTACGTCATTTTAGTGGTTAAAAAATTCAAAAAAGAAAAAGAAAAAGAAAAAGGACTTGGATCTAGACTAAAAAAAACTTGTGTACTTGCAGAATAAAATATATGTTTATGTATGTACATGTAAGGTTTGTTTATACCCTAATGTTGATGGAGCCTAATTCGACAGCTTGAATTGTGTCAACCAATAACTCAGCCGTTTTTCAGTGGCAGTGGAACCACTGGAAAATCTCCATTGAGGGCAGCCAAGACTATTTGGGTTGAGTCCAATTTAAATTGGATTGAAAGTGGTCAAAACCCGCTCAAATCCAATTTGCAACCCTAACATATCTACCTACGAGTTAAAAATAGTGTTTCATTAATTAAATCATAAAAAAAATTATAAAAAAAAATGACGTAGTTGAATTTTTAGTTAGGGTGTCATTTTTTAGGTAATTACGTGAATAGTCATTAACTAAAATTATTTCAAAATTATAAAAATGACGTAGATATCCTTTTTTAGGTAACTTCGTAACTGACATTAATTAAATTATTTAAAAAAATTATAAAAATGACGTAGTTGAATTGTGAGTCAGGGTGTCAATTTTTTAGGTAACTTCGTGAATATATCAATAAATTATGAGTGCTCGTATAGGTAAGTACGTGAATTTTTTATTAAATTGAGGATGAAACTATATTTTTTAGGTAAGTAAACATATTTATCATTGAATTGCGGACGTGTAATTTTATAAAATAGAACTAATTAAGATGCGTTCAAATATATATATATACTAGTATATGCCCGTACCTAAAGGCACGGTATAAATATTGTTGGAATTAAAATATAATTATAATTTATATATGAAAAATTTATAGAGTCTGTAATATTTTTTGATACAAATATTAAAAAAATATAAAGAAATATTATTTTGGTTATAAAGAAATATAATTTATCTAAAAAACAGAAATTAATTAGATTATGTTCCATTCGAAATCACTTAATATTGTTATTAAACTCAATTGATTAAATTATTAAATTTCGTTCCTTTTAAACTCAATTGATTAAATTCCATTCTTAACTACCTAATATTGTTATTATGAGAGAGTTATTTATTGTTATTATGAGAGAGTTACCACCCAACAAAATATATATTTGTAATGAAAACATATTATATCATTTTAATATTTATGTTACAAAATTTTAGAGTGATATTACCATATACTTTGAGTGGTTTTGAGAAATTGATTAAATATTAAATTTTAACTTTATTGAAAAAATAAAATAAAAAGATAATATCACCCAAAATAAATTAACCAAATCCATGTGGGTTGCCTCTCACTTTTTCTCTTATCTCATCAATCTTCTCTTTCCCCTTTTTCCCCTATCTGATCAATCTTCTCTTACCCTTTTCTTTTTATTTGTTTTTCTTGGGAAGAGATTTCCCCTCCCATGCCTTTGTCCGTCTCTCAAATTTCACCATTGTTGCTCAAGTTTGAGGTTAGAATGGGAAGGGATTTTGCAAAACTTTCTCTTCGAAACAAAACTCACAAAAAGAAAGGTTCCAGTACGATATAAATAGGGCTATTTTGAGAAGTGGGTAAGTGGGTTAAAAGTCACTTCTCAGGTTTTAACCCACTTTCATCTCTCAAAAAAAAGTCAAAAAGTAATTTTAATTATCTTTCCAAAACACTCCATAATATTGAGATCAAAATATAATCTTAATTTCTACGTATCATATTAAAATAAGTGAATTGTGTAGTATTTTTTTAATAAAGACACTAAAAAAATATTATTTTTCTTAAAGAACTTTTAATAATTTTATTTATATAACTCTCCTTAGCCTTGATATAAATTAAGAAATAAACATACAAAATTTATAATGTTTGCTTAAAAAAAAAAAAAGAAAAGAAAAGTCCTATATTTTATTTCACCAACAAAAAATAAAATAGTGAAATAAAAAAATATATATAAAAAAAATATTTCGGATAATATTATTTTAATTTGAAGGTGATAATTACTAAGTAACTTTTTTTTTTTTTTAATTTTTGAAAGTCTTGTATTCAATTGCATGCTTGTATTGCTCTCTTTACCCCCATAAATAATATATTCTTTTACACTTACAAAGTCCCGTCCAAGAAAAACCATATACAGCCAAAAATAAAAAAACAAACTGAGAGATAAAGGCATGGTGTAAATAATATTAAGATTCAAATGTAGTTATAATATTATAAAAATAAAAATAAAAATAAATAAACAAATAGGAAAAATTGTAATTTGTGAGAAAAATAAAAAGAAAAGAGAGAGGAAGGTGAGACCATGAGATCATTCATGAGATTATTCATGAGATCATGAGAGGATTTGTGAGAAAAGAACAAAGAAAGAGAGAGAAGCGGGAAAGTAAAAAATATATGTATAGAATATTTTTCAAAAAATATATCTCAGCTATTGTTTTATAATTTGAATAAATTTACGCTATAAATAAATCAAACTTGCCTATTCAAGAGCTATGTATCTAGAAGTCCCGGAATACTCTAGTGCATGCCCGTGCATAGTGAAAGTAATTTTGAGATTAAAATATACTTAATATAAAAGTATTGAATTAAACTGTAATTTAGCTAATTTGTTGTAAAAAAAAAAAAACAAAAACAAAAACAAAAACAAAAACAAAATTTGAGGTCAAAGTATAAATAGATTATCCGTTTGATTTGAGTTTTCAAATAAATTTTATAATTATGTTTTTGAAAAGAATTTATCAAACTTGACATTTTGTTTGACTGTATATTTTGAAAATAATTTTTACAAATTTAAAATCCAAAGCATATTTAGTTTTGAAATTTTCAAAAACAGTTTTTAAAATTTTCAATTTGAATTTTATTATTTTTAATAAATTTTTAAAAATATTTTAATCAAAATTTTTTATTTTTCAGATTCATTAAATCTGAATACACTTAAAAATTATAAAATTTAGAGTAATGCTATAAAATTTACGCTTAAAAATTTTAAAAATAATTTTTATGAATTTAAAATAAAATTTAATAATTTTGCATGATTTATGTGATTTTATGTATTTTGAGTATTTCAATTCAAATTATTATAAATAATACATTAAAAAAAAAATGAAAAAAGAAGAAGACAAAACAAAAAGAGTGAGGTGGTAGACAGCCACACCCAATAATTTTATATCAAAGTGATGTTTTCCATTCCACGTTTGCCCGGCTTACACGGCAGCTTCTCCCACTCACTCTCATTCTCTCTGTTTCTAACTCTCTCTACTATCTCTCATTCATCATTCTCTCTCTCCATCTCTATTGAAACGTCTCTCTTTCTCATCATCACATCTCATCATCTCTCATCTCTTGGCAAACTCTCCTCTCAGAGATCTAATAGCAACCAAGTCTCAAACAACTCCTAAGCAACTTGAACCCATCATTTGAACTGGCAATGACAATCTAAATGGAGGGGAGGTTGTTAGAGGCGGTGATGAGCGTAGGTTGCTGCGATGATCTCGGTTGGCTGTGGAGAAAGGAATAGCAGAGGAGGCAGCCATGGTGGTGTCCAAAATCCAGAGCCCAATCCACCCATACCCATCAAAGCTCCTCCTCCCCCTCCCCCACACACACACCACCACCACTACACTGAAACCCAAATTTGTAATATAACTTTGTTAAATCACATAATCAGTAGCCCTTCATTGTCGAATCCACCTTTACTAAATCACTTAAGCAATTACATGCACTCAAATTTTACCAAAGCAATTTTAAGCACAAAATGCGTCACTTCAAATTTTACCAAAGCAATTACATTCACTCATTCATGAGATTAATATACAGCAAAGTCTACTTTCTTTCCTCATTCGCTGCCACTGCTCCGGCACAAACAGAACACACACAAAAAAAAAAATCGAAACTCATTCTCTCTCCCCTTCATCTTCCACCACTCATTCTCTCTATCTATGAGATATATCTTCCCTACTCTCTCTCTCTGTCTCATTTATCCTCTCTCCAGAAACATTGGTCTCTATTTAAGAGATCAAATAACCAACATTTATGCCCTTTGTTATGTAGTAGACTGATGTCGATCCATCAATTGCGACGGTGATGATAAATAGCGACAGTGGTGATGAGCAGCAGCGGTGGTGATCACTGGAAGAGGTGGCTGGAGGAGGTGATGAGCACCACTATGGTTGGTTCATGAGACAATCGTCGGGAAGAGATGTGTCGCCGTCGGAGAGAGATGTACCGGTGGTGTGATGGGAAGTAAGGCTGTGAGTGAGTGAGAGAGAGAGAGAGAGAGGGGGTGTTTTGAAATTTGAAAATTGGGAAGTTAGACTGGGAGAGAGAGAGAGATGAGAGTATATAGAGAGAGTGAGATCAGATGAGCCTATCGTGGGTGCAAATTTTTAGGTTTATTTTTTACGTGTGCTCTTGGGCGGGAAGTTGTAGGAGATTGGCTGAGTTGATTCTCATCTCTACCGTCCGTTCCAGTCAAAAATGAATCCTAACCATTCAAATGTCCTAATAGGACAATTGTTTCTAAGACAAATTTAAAAACCTTTGTGCCTTATTATATAGATTATAAAGTTAATTAATAATTTTTAATGATATTAAAAATTTATTTTAAATAATAATTCAAGTAATTTTATTATTATAGCAGTTAATAATTTTATTAAATG